ATCAAGTGCGCCCTGCGGATTTGCAACTCTGAGTGTTTTTACACTAATATTTTTTATTGAGTGCACTTCGATATGCTTCTGCTTGTAACAGACACTTGTCACCCCCTGGCTACAAGCCTCCGTGGCGCAATTGGCTAGCGCGTTCGGTTGGTGGTTCGAGCCCACCCGGGGGCGCACAACTTTTTTGTCGCTTTATTTAATATAAATTTTTATTTTATTTATTTATTATTATTTTTTTGTTTGTTATATGCTGATTACTTTAACTGAAAATATCATTACTCTTTGTGCAAAGAAAACAACTTATGTTTTGTGTTTTTTAATTTTTGTTCAAGTTGAAATCGTTATATACTAGAAAACATCCCAGTCGTTTTTCTAGGGTTTAATTCTATCAAATTCCCGCTTCTGCAGTAAACGAGCTTTACATATTGTACTAAAAATACATTATTTCTATGTGATTATTGATATTTTAATTTTGTTCACCGAAAATTCGCAAAATTTATCTCTTATCATTATTTTACATTTATTGTAAAAATGTTCTATATACTTTTATTTTCCTTCGAAAATGACCTAAGAGGAACCAAAATTTCTTAAAATGCATTAATAGTGCAAGAAGTTAAACAGCCGAGGCTTCGATAGCAAACTATCTATTTAATCGACTTATTTTTATTTAAATTCAAGAAATTTTTATTCTGCTACTTTTAAAATTCGAAATTTTAATTAAAAAAAACCTCAATACAAAAAGTTGCGCGCCCCCGGGTGGGCTCGAACCACCAACCTTTCGGTTAACAGCCGAACGCGCTAGCCAATTGCGCCACGGAGGCTGTGCTAAGTACCTGCTCTAACTAATTATAAAAAAGAAGAAGCATATTAATCGAATTACTGAGTGAGCTGGTGTTACAACACTTCCGCGGTTATAATCACCAAAAGTATGGGCTTAAACGCCAGGTTGGCGGTTTTAAACTGCAATAAGTGTAAATTGAAGAAGAGTTTCTCAAAAGCAGATCGATGCGTCAAGCGATTTACTTGAGATTTACTTGCTTTGAAAAATAAGGTCTTTAGTCATCCCATTTCGGCAAGGTGTAAGGGCCGTTACCATTACTATACCTTCTATTATTTTACTCTTCAATTGTAAGATGGCCTGGGATGAGAGCAGAAAGCTACCCAATTGTCTACCTTCTTACCGAAGTTGCGACAGTTGTTTGCACCAAATGAAGATAGGTTCTACTGCACTTGGCTCTTGAGTTGAATTCGTGGGTGCCCTTATTCTAGTTGTGCCCCCTTAGTCGCCAAGTCTAAAGATTGATTTCACCGGAGCTTAATGTACGACATGCCCAAGCCAGCGCAATCATATATCTATGCATTTTGGAATGAATTCGCGTTAGTCCTTGTCAAATTTGATTAGGAGACATATGGGCTTCTGCGTTGTGCCATCTTCAGTGTACATTCTTTTTTTTTTGTTCTCAGGAAACAGAGCATCATACTCCTAACCTGCGGAAGAAGGCAAATGTAAGTGTTTTTGTTGCTGGGACTATCGAGGAAAATTTGCTACTCGATTACCACGAAAATTTCAAAATTTGAAGCAAAATTTTAGGTGTTGTTACCAATATTTGAAAAAAATGTTTTTTTATTGCAAAAATGGAGCAAATTTTTAACTCTCACTAGCTATAACTCAGCGAATTATATGAATAAAATGAAAAACTTTGTCGAATTTTCGCGGTTTAATAGAAAAATTAAGCTAAAAATTTGTTGAAAAGTTTAAATTTTTTTGTGGATATGTTTATTTTGTACGTAGAACAAAATAGCGGAGTGCCCCACACAAAATTTTGATGTTGATATTTTAAGGACAACATTTTTATACATATTTTTATATTGAAATTAGTGGTGTCTTTAAGAAATTCCAGCTGTGCTTCACCCACAAGCAGAGCCACAATTTTGATAAGAAAAACTTATTGGGATTGGCAGCAGTGCTAAAATACTTGTATTATACTTATAATGCAATGGTAACTTCATAATTAATCGACTGATGTTTCGATTCAATACAATTGAATCTCTTTTCGAAAAAAGTTGTTCTATTAATGCTATTAACTAAAGCTCGAGAGCAAGTTTTTCATGGGCATCCCTGCTCTAGTTTGTGGGGGATATTCGCCACTATCATACCATTACAGCTCCGGCGCTGTTGTCGTTATGTACACACCATTACAAACGCTCGCATCTTTTTTCAGACAAAAAACCGTGTATTGCTGCGAGAAAAATCGTTTTGCAGTATCTCTATTTAAAGAACATATTTTTTTTACAGGACGAGCATTAGTTATTTTTTACTGTATATACACAATGATACAAAATGATAGGGTCTAAAAAGGCCATAAATTCTATATTCTAACTTCATACACCCATTAGAAAAATTCAATAGAAACACAACCGCAATTTTCTAGTTTGAAGTGTCTACAAAATACTGTCGGTATTTAATTTTGTTAACGAAACCTTGAATAGGTTCCAAACTTTTTTTTATGGAAGAAATGATAACACCATCGGCAAAAAAAAACATCAAAAATCAGTGCGAATTCTTGGCTCTTGATACTAGCCTTTATTCGAATCTAATGTGTTATAAAACTGCATAAGTTCTTAAGTTTTTTCTAAAAATTATGAATAAAAAGTTCGTTATTGTTGTGAAAATATTTTGCGCTTTTCGTCAAAGTTTGAGGGGTGGACTTATATGGTTTATAAGTTTTGTAAAATTAACCAGACTTTAATAATAAATTAACAAACAAAAAGGAAAGAGTCTAAACTGGTCCAAATGCCGTGTCCCTATTTTTTCACATGAATTTACGTAGCAAAAAAGTATTTTTTCGTATAAATGCATTTTTTTTGGGAAAAATACGCAGCATCCTTTTTTCGAATCCAAAGAAAAGTATAATACATACTGCAAAAAATGTATATATACAAGCGTTAACCATTACCAATACCATCGCCATTACTTGTACAATTACCATTACGACAATCATTATTATAGCCATTACCATTATTATTACCGCCAAAGTATTTTCTTTTATTCGCTTTGTTGCTAATTTTTTAATTTATGTACATACATAATAACTAAAAAATATGGCACAATTCAGAATTCTTGTTGCATTTGCGGTCTTCGTTAATTGACTTGCCGCTGAGAAGTAATGTGGTATTACTGCTGCAATATTTGTTTTGTTGTTGTTGTAAATAATTTTTGCTGCTTCTAGTTTCCTAATGTTGCAAAATTTTTTATTTTATTTTTTTCTTCTGGCGTCTCTTTCACCACGACTTGTTTGTTTATTTATGTACAGCAACATCAAAGACTAGTTGGAAAATATTGTCATTGTTTTATTGTTGCACAAGAGTTTCCACCGCTTCTGAATTTCACTGCATTTTTTATTATTTTCGCTAACTTTTTTCCAGCATCTTCTGCATTCATTACCTACCTTTCAGCGCTTTGTCGTTTCTTTTTACAGCCTCACCTCTACAATTATAAGAACGTATACGAATATCTGTTTTCATTGCTTTATTGCTCTTGCTGGCGTCGCCGGTGTTTTGTTTTGCCTTCGCCATCAACATTGCATCTCGATGCACACTACATACATACAGCCAGTTTCCGTTGCCTTTACGTATCGTCGTTCGTAACAAGCCGGCCAAATCACCGCCCACCACCCTCTCCACGCTATTTATGCGAACATACATATTTCACGAATTCCTCTTTAGTATTGCCTTCGTTCGCTTCGTAATTAGTATTCTGCTTTGAATCGTACTTTTGGCATTCGTTCGTCGTTTATCGTCGTCATCGATAGGAAGCGAAAAATTAAAAAAAAAGCAAAAAAAATCATAGAACGAATGCCCCAAGCAGCTCATTGCAGGCAAACGCGCAGCAACTACAAATACAACTGCAACAGCAACAGCAACAGCAACAGCAACGACAGCAATGAGCACAGTAACAACAAAAACAACAATCGCCAGCAGAACATCTCCTATTCATTCAATATTTGCACTTAGCACAACAACGCCACCCGCTCCACCTTGCGCTCCACTTAAGTACTCACACCTACTCCTTTCATTGCATCCAACATCGATTTGCCGACTGTTTTTACTCGCTTCTTTGCTTTACTACACTGCTATTTGTCGTTGTTGTTGTTGTTGTTATGGTGTTTAGCTTGCTATTCGCTTCGTTTTGCTCGTGGTTTCGCTTGCAATTCAGTTTCAGTTTTCAAGTTTTCGGTTTTCAGTTTTCAGCTTTGTATTTTCAGTTTCAATTTCAATTTCAGTTGCGTCGATGCGTTTAGTCTTTCGCCGATGTTGAGAGTGTCAACAAGTTTTGTTGCATTTGATCCGATTGCATTAATCAATCCCACACCGTTTTAACTAACTGGTGGCGTCCGTTAACTTACAGTCACTCACTTACTTTGAAAAGACACAAGTCAAAAATTAGTGAACTGTTCCGTTTGTTAGAACGCCATTGTGGCGTAGAATAATTAAACATTCTTGGTGGCAATTAGAAAAAAATAAAAAGTATTAAAAATGCCAGCAATGTGAATGCGAAAACAAAAAAAAAAAAACAAAAACAATAACAATTAAAATAAAAAAAATTTGGAAAGTAATGCAAAAAATAAAAATAAAAATCAGTAATGAGGTGTATATATAAATAAAATTAATAAAAGTATAAACCAAAAAATTAATAAACAAAAAGGAGTCAAAAAACGTGTATTTCACTTTTGTGTTCTCACATTTAAATTTTAAACCACAATTATGAATACTCATTAACTTGTAGCTTAAAAAAAATGAAGTTTAATGCTCAGATGTATATATGAAATTTTAAATTGTATTGCAAGTAAATTCTAAATTTGAATAAAAAAAAGAATTAGAAAACAAAAGTTGGACGCAGCATTGCACTTGATATTATGATATTTACTTAAAACCAAAACAAATGAAAAATTAGCCTGGAAGTGTTTATTTAAGAAATTAATTTGAGGTGGAAAATATTCGAAATAAAAAACAATAATTGGCATTTAAAAGTAAATAATTCACAAAGTTCGGAGATTATTTTTAATTCTAAAAATAGACATTAAAACATTAGAAATAATTGTTTTATAAGCAGTGAATTTCCAAAATAGTATTGTTATATTAAAAATGTCATTCCAGGTAAGTTAAAATAAAATTTGTTTATTATTAAAACAGTTTATGCTTTCTCGTATTATTTTCCGAATAGATCGCAATCCCAAACAAAAATATTTTCAAACCAAAGTTTCCTAAAAAGTCTTTCGTTTGCCTTTCATATTTGAGTATATAACTAGCATGTAAGCTAAATAAAATAGACTTTTCAAAAAGGTGGCAGCCCTTTATAAAAGTATTTTTAAACTTTAATCTTTTTAAATCTGTATATATATAATGTATATTGACATTATATATATCTTCTCTATAATTTAATAAAAATCGACTTTTAATGGAGGTGGCAACCCTGTTAAAAATATTTTTAAACTAAAACCGTCTTAAACTTCTTTCGTGTTGTACATATTTCAATTACCTAATTCCTTTAATTCAAATTGAATTGGATTCTTTAAACAGGTGGCGACACTCTTAAATATAGTTTGGAAAAAAGCATTTTCAAGCTCATTTCGATTGGTGCCCATTTTTTCATAATTCATTTAACTTCTTAAATAGTTTGAATTTAAATTTTTCAACCCAGGGGGAAACTCTTTTCATGTACTTCAACAAAATTCTAAGCGTTCAAATTAAACATTCCTTGACACTCTTTCGTTTGACGCCCATATTTTAATATTTCGTATAACTTGTGTATAATTTAATTAAATTCGACTTTCAAAATAGTTTCAAACAAAAACCTTTTTAAATCTCTTTTGCCTGACAAGCAAATTGTGGCAGAAATCCCTATTATCTTATTGCCTTAGTTTAAATTGAATTAAATCTTTTTAATAGGAGGCAACCGTCATGTAATTAAGAAATACAATCTTTTCAGAAGCATTTCGATTGAAAGTCTGCGTAGTCTTATGACTGATCAATAATGGCAACGGACAGTCAGCAGCATGTGCCTGCAACTTCACTGCTACCTGGGAAGATTAGGAACCTAGCCATCCTCTTCACTTTTTGCAACCTCCAAATCTTCCTCGCTAACTAAAAGCCCACACTTTTCACCACCTTTACAGGAACCTAGAGATCGCTGTTGTAAAGTTACGACTTTCGAAGTCCCAAAGGCATTGGTTAGATAACATGCTGAAATATATTTAAGGGAGCTGCCACCTGTTAATTTATTAAAATATGTTAGTAAAGTTAATTCAAACATCAGAAAAATGTAGATGTTTGGTTCAAGAACGATTTTTTTTTTATGAAAAAAATCTTTAAGAATATTGCCATCTTCTAAGAAATTAAAAATCAATTAAATTAACATATTAAATGATATAATTTAATATGGGCATTAGAAGAGAGAGGTTTAAGAAAGCGGAATTTCAAAAATGTGCTTTAAGAGGGTTGCCACCGGTCCCACAGTTGAAGGCAATTTTATTAACAAGTTGAATATAATATTTTAATAGAGGTATCAATCGAGAGAGAGGTTTTAGGAAAGGTGCATCTATTCTCAAAATATTCTTTAAGAGGGTCACAAAATTGAAAAGTTGCCACCTGTTAAAAATTTAAAATATATTAGTTTAAAATTAAGTTTGTTTAAAGAAAATTTTGAATGTCTAACGAAAATCTTCTTCAAGAAGGTTGCCACCTTCGAAAAATTTTAAATAAATTAAACTAACAAAATGAATGATATCCATACCTAAATTAGAGCGCTAGACGAGAGATGTTTAGCAAAAACTTTATTTAGGAAAACATTTTTAGATGGTTGTCACCTGTTTCAAAATTGAAAGGGTTGAATAAACAAGTTAAACAAGATTTTTTAATATGGATTTCAAACAGGAGAAGTTTATGAGGGCTTTTTGCCAATCAATGTATACACTGAGCCAAAAGCACAATGGGTTTTTGAACCAAGTTATGGATTGATTTTTTCGTGGTCAATAAGTCGATTGTAAGAAATGTGATTCAAGCTGAACATTTGACAACAAATTCGTATGTATGGCAGTGGATGAACGAGCATAGGTGCCTGCTGTTATTGGTTGGCTTCCAGCAGTACGAATAATGCTGTAAGCGCGATATATGATTTCTATTTTTTTCTGTTTTTGATTTTTCTTAATTACGAAGAAGCCTCTGTGAAGTGCAGAACCAAATCAAACGACGANTCGTATGTATGGCAGTGGATGAACGAGCATAGGTGCCTGCTGTTATTGGTTGGCTTCCAGCAGTACGAATAATGCTGTAAGCGCGATATATGATTTCTATTTTTTTCTGTTTTTGATTTTTCTTAATTACGAAGAAGCCTCTGTGAAGTGCAGAACCAAATCAAACGACGAATAAAATTGATTCAAGTTGAACATTTGCAGACACATTTATAAAGCGGCTGTGGCTGAGTGCGTAGAGATGCTTGCTACTAATCCCGCCAGAGGCAACATGTTAAAATGATAATACAAATTTTTGTTATGTTTCTCCGAAAAAGCATCTGTGAAGTGCAGAACATAAATGTATTCAAACGAAAAATGGCCATTCAGAACTTTGGTTAATGTAAACAAAATTGTGGTTAATATTACCAAATCTTTGTTGAAAATATCAACCAATGCATTGTTAATAGTAACCAAAAGTCACGTTGATTCCTTTTCAAGTTTGAATTTGGTAATATTAACCAATATTTGGTTGATCTTTCTCTCAGTGTATGTCTTAGTTAAACGAAATTTTAAAGTATGGATGCCGGACGAAAGTTTATTTTATAAATATGTTAAATAAAGTCTTACAATTTGGATGGCAAACGAATGACATTTAAGAGAGCTTATTTTTGGTGCCGTGTCGTGATTTATTTTGAAAAGGTTTGCTACCTGTTTAAAAACCAAATACCATTTTTCTATAAATTATATAGAGATTACAATAAAGATGTTAATCGAAAGAGGTACTTATGTTTCGAAAATAATTTTAAAGATGTTTAGATGTCAATTTGAAGCGAATCCAAAAGTTAAATTAAACGTTACAAAATGACGTAAAGCCAAAACAAAATATGTTCAAGAAGGTTTTATTTCGAAAACATTTTTAAAAGGTGTTGCCAAATTAAATTCAATCAAATACTTCAAGTAAATATTTTGATGAGGATTCCCCCCTGTTTGAACTTTAAATTCAATTGCTTTGGAACCTAAGACAATAAAGAACTTTTTAAATCAAATTTTTATTTTCGGTCATATAATTTATTTGTTTCCTTTTGGTTAATGTTGAAATCATAGCCTTAACTTCATGCGAGCGGAGCTACGGGCAAAAGCTGGTATACATGTACACATGTAAAAGCTTCTAAAAACTGTATTAAACAAAATCCAAATTTATAAAAAATCACAAAACACCAGAAACACAGGAAGTACCATCCCAGACAATGTGTAACTGTCAACGTCACGGTTAAGTTTTAAAGCAACAAAATAAAATACATAAATAATACATTTCGGTATACAAGTAGAACACTATGCAAAGCAAATATCTAGGCAACAATAATAAAAAAACTAAACCAAACCAAAGAATAACAAATTTGCAAAATACAGCAACAACTACTATTTATACATACTATGTGTGTGCGTTCAGACGACAGAAGAAGGCGCGTCTAGCGATTCGCTTTGAGCTGTGGCGTATACGCAACCAAAAGCCTTTCTGCAACTGCTAAATAAGTAGAGCACTTTCAACCTACTCATATTATGTGCATATGTATGTATGTATGTACAATGTATGCGCATATTTAGTGCCTCAGACGGCTACATAATTTATTTATTTGACCTCATGAGCGTGCATGAATAACGAACAGCGCCGAGGTGCACATACATATTTCGTTGGGCATACAAAATTATACGATTAAGTGTTTTGGTATATTTTCATTGCTGTCTTTGCCTTGTTGACAATATGCGGCAAGTGTGAGAGTACTCGTATTTCGATAGTTTTGTTATGAATAGCGTTGGATAAAGGAAATGCCGAACATAGATTGTAATATACTGAGACTTTACTGAAACTGGCAAGAAAAGGCTCATCGTCTGTACTTGTGGTGCCGGAACAACTGAGTTGGTCCACCTCGAGGCTCACAATCGAAGCGTGGGTAAAATTAGGAGGTAGGGGCCATGGTACCATGACCTAAAACCAGAAAAATAACCAGGTTTCTGTTAAAGAAAATATCAGGCAAACTATGTCTTTTAGTTTGCTCGAAATACTAAAAGTTCAACTATTTTATGTCATAAGGAAATCATATTCAACATAAAGAGAGGATCCTAATGGTATCTTAAAAAAAAAAAATTAAGCATAGCATCACTGAAAGCTGTGGAGAAGACGAACCCGAGCCCCAGTCGATGATGACGGAGTCGAGGTTCCACCACCTGACTATAACGAGGTACAAATAGCTTAAAAAAACTACAAAGCTGCTGGAGCTGAGCTATTCTCCGCGAAATTAATACGGCCTTGTAAAAGGACGTCGAGCAATTCAGGTCCGTTTTTTTTTACCGGATAACCTACGACAGTTATATTATACCACTCCTCTACACTGTTTAGACAACGAATTCCCCACAAAATCCCAGAGAAGAACGAAGGGAAGAGGCCACAGAACTGAACCCAGGGTCTACGGCTGTATATACAGATGGTTCCAAGCTTTACTCTGACGAACTCCCGCTAGACCTTAGCTTTCACTTACCGGACCATTGCAGCATCTTTCAAGCGGAGCGAAACGTCATAACGGAGGTGGTTCGGTGGCTCATAGGGCGGAAATCGCTCAAGTCAAGTCTGCTCAAAATTCGGGCATACCTCTAACCTCCTGCAAGCACAGACTGAAAGCTGAACTCATCAAAGAGGTAAACACCAAGTGGGATGTGGAAACCACCTGCTATACTACCAGAAAAATTTGGTCAAAGATTGATGTAAAGCAATCCATAGCTCTTACTCGGCTCGACCGCTCGTCTCTCAGATTAGTTACCACAACTACTACCACCGGACACTGCCTGATGGGCACGAACGGTAAAAGGTTAGGATATCCCACCAACGATTTTTGTCGCAGCTGCAGGGACGAGGAGGAGGAGGAGACC